TGCTTCCCAATGTAAATGATTAACTTTAAACTATCCCTGGTTGTCAGATTTTAATCTGAACATGCAAAGCACACAAGACTTCTTTAGGCTGAACAGAATTGCTACGGAAGCCAATTAAAGATGTTGCTTTTTCAGAAGAAAAGCTGCCAAAACCAGCAGGCTGACCCCATTATGTCAGCTAATCCCTGAAATACAGGAGGTAAATTTAAATCTTTTCATTCGAAACATTTAGTCAATATTCTTTTTTCAGCACTGAGAGTTTTATATTCCTGTACATCTTTTGCCAAACACTTTCTGTGTAGTTGCAATGCCCAGAGTAAGAGGTCCAAACATGACTTCTGGGGGACAGAGCAGGCGGAGCATCAGAAAGGACAATGCTGGCTTATCACAAACTGAAAAGGAAACAGAAAGTTCACAGACCATATGAAGGGACAGTGAAAAGAGGGTGCCAGGCATATGGGTGAGTTAATACTGGTGCTCAGGGGATAAATCAAGTTCCCTTTGTCTCGTACTATCCTCACACCAACACCACACCTACATACTGCCCATGTTTCCTGCTTATGCTCACTCACCACCCCATTACGAGCCTGTGAAACTCCACACCTGCTGTGTCTTGATCCTCAGAAGCTTTTAACCCTCTCCAAACACCTACACAATGCTTTATAATAATAATATTTAGCACACGGGAAGATACATTAAATAATTGTAGACAGTACTTCAAACAGATTAGCAGATCCTTACACAGTGCTGAAGACCTGCAACAGACAGACCTACAAGCGAAAAGCAGTCATTTTCAGTCTGTGAGTCACGTTTAAGTCCTAATGTCCTCAGAGAACTGTAATCTCCTGGTTTTGTCCTAAGACTTGCTATAATAGTTATTTCTTAAAGTCAAGTTTAGGTGGAATTACGTGAATTTGTAGAACAGCTTGCAATATGACCCACGTCTGTTCTAAACACCCATTAATCTTACATGCAAATAGAACTAATTCACATATCTAAGTATCTATATTTCTCTTTTCCTCCTTGTTCCCCACAAAATGTTTGAGGTTTTTAATTCTTATGTCTCTTTTTTTTTTTAAATTTTGCTGCTGAGACTACAAAGACATTCACATACTGAACTCAACTGAGGAGCATTTGCCTTCAGTCTGAAGGGCTCAATTACACTAAAATGTCCACTACTCACACTTCTTCAAAAGCACAAAAACCTTAAATTCATTCTGAATGCTGAACTAAGATTAATTAGAGCAAGACATTTATATCAAATGTGGGAAAACAACGTATAGAACTATCTAGGGAGTTGGTAGATTTCAATGAATAAGTTTACACTTAATGTCCTTAACCATCTTGATTTTGATCATTTTTGTCTTGTGTATTTTTATTTATCTATGATGATGATGTAACAACAATTGGTCTAATCTAGTCTAGTCTGTCATTTGAAGCTTATTTCATTATCATCTTCCAGTTCCATGCTTCACTCCTATATGCAGAAGCAGCATTTTACTTGAGGAATACATGGTGTGAGTACACAGCCCAACTCATTCCTTTGTCCCTTTCAAATAATCCAACATGACGGTTTAAGCAGTGGTGCTAGAACATGAGACTGAAAGGCCATAACCATTTTTTGATTGATGGTACTGAACACTATTTACGATTGAGAATGAAGGATAAACAAATAGGTCAGTTAAATAGAAAATGTTAGAGCAAAGCCATCAGAAAAAAAGATAAGGATGGCAATTACTTAATAAAATATGCCTCTATGAGGAGCGCACTTGGCATTCATCTTCTGTTTTGTTGACAATATTCTATAAATTATTTTTATGTGTTTCTGAGGATCCTTTGGAAGAAGTCAGGCACCTCAAAAAATACTTGAATTTAGCATTTTACATAATACTAACCACTATTTATGCTCTGTGTTTACCAAACTTTGTTAGAAGCCAGATTTATAGAAGATTCTGTAGAATGCTTGTCAAAGTTAAGCATCTTCCTGGCAAAGATGGAGTGCTGATTTAAAGTAGGGTTAGAAAAAAGCATGTATTACAGAAATCCACGCATATGTAAATGTAAAATAAGCATATATCAGAAATCAACATTTCTCTGTATCAATGTGAAATAAGAGAATACCACCATAAAGGAGAACTACAAATTCTTGTACCAATGGTAACTTGAAATGAAGAATAATTTCTAAACAGCATCACTGTAACAAAAATTATAAATCCAAAACTTCAACAGGTATTCAAAATAAATATTGAGTACAGGTAAAAGAAAGAGCATCTCAGTTTCTTTAAGCATTCACAACTCTGATTCCCAGGTGCATGTGTGCAGGATAACACAGCACAGCAACAAAACCGTTAGTGCATTCTTGCTTTTCATACAACCATTATGAACAAGTCAGAAAAAAAAATGTATCAAAAATTGCTCAGCCAGTGACACTGTTGGCAGATTGGGTTAGTGACCTGTATTTTACAACCCCAAGAGGTTAGTATTTGTTCATTTCTATGGCAATTTATACTAATCAATCACTTCCTGCTCTTTCTTCCCTCGCTGTATTTATTTCCATGGCAATTTATACTAATCAATCACTTCCTGCTCTTTCTTCCTTCTCTGCATTTTTAAACCCACTAACGAGGATATGCAGCATCACAATGATCATTTCCTTATCCCCTCTCTGCCATTGTCTTTTTGTGCTGAGACTAATGCTTTAAATTCCACTTTTCACAGTGTTTAGGCTATACTGCCTTGTTGAAACCTTTCAGCTCAACTGCTAAGTGTATAACAAAGCCCTTCAGATTGCTTTTGGTCGCACTAGTCCATGTTTTGAAAATACTACAAAGGCATATCTTTCATGGGAGGAGAGCCTTGGAATGAATACGCTTCTCCAAGTGTGATATGAATGCCTCCAGTTCTTTTGTAAGATCTGCATTGAGGTTTCAGTCTCACATGCAAAGTGGCACCATACTGTCCAACAAACACAGGTTTCTTTTTTAAAAAGTGTGGGCTTGTTTTGGCTCTATTTGTAAGTTATTTTTTTGAAAAATGCTTTAAAACATGAGAGCTTTGTTCTTCGTGTTTTGGTTCTGACACAAGGAAGTAGTGAGCACCAGAATGTTGTATTTCACAAGAATAAAACTGCTTGATTCACAGAACTTCAGTGACCTTTTAGTGCAGACATCTATAGTTTCTACAGAACAGGAGAGATCATTTATTTCAAGGAAGCTGTTTTCCAAAAATTGTATCAAGTATATCAGGGGTACACTTGCAGTCATAACATAGCTTAAACCCAGTGCTGATAAACTCATGTGGGACAACTTCAAAATGCCAGAGTACAGGAGTAAGGACAGGGAAGATTTTAATTCATTTTCAAAACACTGGAACATCTATTCAGACTTGAGGAACATTTGCAAATCAAACTGAATCCAATGGGATTGTGATCACTTGCCACTTCTTCACTTCATTATTTATCATGTCTACTTTGGTAGCATCTGGAGGCCTTACTCCGTAGGGGACTGTACAAACACTAAAGGAAAATGTGGTCTCTCCCATAAAACAAATCTTTAATATAACATGAAGTGTATTAATAATATCCCATCAAGGACTTGCTTTAAATGCAAGATATTCCAAGTTCCAGGTTTAAAAGGTTGCGTTTCTTTTTAGCATAGTCTATTTGGTAAAAGGACTACTCCATATAGAATGGCTGCAACTATCTCCCTTCATCCATAACTTACGAAGATTGACTAATAATGAATGCACAAATAAATAAAAAAAACCCCCAGAATTAAACCAGAAGGACCCAAACTCAACACCATCTACCATTAAACCCATATACTTTGTGACTGTAAGGTCGCTAAAATTGTTAATTCATATGCAATTTGCCAATGCAAAATAAATGGAGAATCTAGAAAAGGATGAAGATCAGAGAATGGTGCAGGAAAGATTAAGAAGTAAAATATACTGCCAAGGGATACAAGCTGTCCACTTTAGTGAATACAGAAACTTTTATAGAGTTTAATAGGAAGAATACAAAATCAATTTTTTATAAGTGAAATGTGAATGCTACAAGTGTAGAAGATTTTGGGAGTCCAGAAAAAAATAAATCTTAATATCAGGTAAGACCTAAAACATGGACACTTTCATTTGTATCAAATAGCAGTTTTCCTCCTTCATCATCAAAAATAAACAGACAAAGCTGATCTATTCCTGACCTAATTTTGCATTTAAACCACCACAAATTTTTCTAACCCAAGATTATAATCTGGCCTAAGGATGTTTCAGATTACATTTCCTGTTACCTCTTTGCTGCTTGATTTTGCAGTTGTTTCCTGCCCAAGTTCTTCAAACATTTTAAGAGCTACATATACTGCCTTCAGCAAGCGATGAGCCTCTTTAAATCCAGAATCAATGACAGACCTTGAATAGCCTAATTGAAGTGTCAAAGAAAATCGCTACGGCCATTGGCCAAAATCATATCATGACCTTGACCCAAGTTCAGGAAAGCACCCGATCCAAAATACCTTCTGTCTCTGTCCAGATTCTTCACTATGTAGTTTGTAGCACCACTTATTCTCTAATAACCAGACCTAGTCAGCCAAAAAAACTCTTAAGTTTACAGTCAATAACATAAGAAAGAAGGCAGGAGGACATGCTAGATGACATTAAGAGCTCCTTCTGAATTTTGATTACTCAGGGGATTAATTTAATCTGACATATCCTGGCAGAATTTGGAGAGTGCCACATTCATATCCAAACCTGTGATAACAAATTAAATACTATTCCCTGTTCCTGAATCAGAGAAGCAATAAAATTCACTTTGAAATATGCATATTTCTGATCTAAAATAAGAGTGTCTGATATTTTACAATATATCTGGCTTGTAACTACAACATAGGAATGAACACAAATTCCAATTTAAGCAGGCACTTATTTATGCAGCAGGAGACCATTCTGTATACATATCTATGAAAAACTTTATTTACTCACTTCCAACAAGTACAAGACTCTCTTACCTGCAGGTTTGCACATGCTGGTGAATCGTTGTGGGTGGGTATTTCATTGTTGGTGGTCTCTGAACCTGTGTTTTTAACTCTGGAAGCTGTTGTAGTTGTGGCTGTAGTGGTCTGTACTGGTAAGATTGGCTGCCACACATTCACATCAGTACCATTGCCGAAGGCCTGAATTGCATTTTCTGTAAAAATAAATTACAGGCAATCTTCAGTTTCTAAACAAATGGCAGAAAGCAGAACTGACTTTTTAATCATTATTATTGGTAGTAGTATTCTTCCATTGAAAATGTGTATTTATAGAAACTCAATTTTTAGGCTGAAAAATGTGTCAATTTTGAATGTATCAGAAACATGAACTGAGAGTCTGGGGTCAGATAATTATCTGGTGCAGTCTCTTCACTGTAATGTTCCTAGTAATTCTTGACAGAAGCTCTAGACTTACTGCAATCATATTTGTTGCCATCCAAAAGCTTAAAAAAAAAAAAAAAAAAAACCAACAAAAAAACACCTTTCAAGATTTAAAATACAGTTTGAATGTTATGTCCTAATTCAGGCAGGTGATGTTACATAAGCAAACTAAAAACAGAGAGCAGGCAAAATATTAGTTTATTTCTACAACTTTGTGTAGTAAAACTAATATGCCTGTAACTACAAAATGGTTTAACTAAAACAATTTTTCCTTACAGTTTTCAACCAGAATCGACATAATTAGGTGAGGGAAGCATTCTTAAACTAAACTTTAGCATATAAAAGTTAAAAAGCTTATCAGAGTTTCATGGGATTAAAGAGTATGTTTATGGCATGAGTAAATTGGTTGGGGTTCTTTACAAACAAATAGAAAAACAGTTTTTAATCAGGTCTTTGGGGATTCAACATGATTTAGGGATTTCTTATTTCAAATTCTTTGTTCAAGAAATCAAACAATTTCACTGGGGACTAATATGTGGAAGTTATTAATACTTCTCAGTGGCATTCCTTGCCTTATAAAATAATTTACATTTAATTCTCATCTGAAAAAAATGTATTTTATTCTGATATTAGTTCTTAGAACACTAACATGTAAGGGCATGAAATTGCAAAAGGCACCACAATCAGTTAGGTTGATGGAGACAAAGAAGGAAGAGTGGAATTATATCCTTCATGGTTTTACCTGAATAAGGCAATATATAAAGCAATATTTTCCTATGATTTCCTAAATTAACAGTAACTCACTGTTTCCATTACTGCAAGAAGGATCACAAAAATACATGCAATCCTGCCAGTATTGCCACCACTGTAATATTACTAAGAAACCTGCATCTTCCAATAAGGAGGATAAAAGTATAAGCAAGCTAATACACAGCTCCACGTTTTAATGTGGAATATTTTTTATTTGGGGCTTACTGATTTGGATTTTTAGCTTTCTTGAGAATGGGTCAGTTACACAGTTCTGCAGGACAATACCCCAAATCACTGATTTATTTTACAGTTCGAAGGGGAAGTATACTTTAGCAAAACAGACTAGCTAGAAAATTCCTAGTTTCATCTCATTGTGAAAAAGTGATTTTTGTTTTGTCTAAAAAAGTCTCATCCAATAAATAAACGGCATTTTCTCCAGGCACTGGAAGGCCCATTAATGATAATTACAATTAAAAAAAATAATAATTGGAACATTTCCTATTCTCTGTAAGAGAACAAACTTTGCATTAAACCAGAAACATCTTCAATTTCTTCATGAAGAAGACATCTCTTACAGCTAGGAGGACTATAATTTGTCTCACAGTAACCTCTGATGTCTTTGATTTGTCTTCATTAATGCTTTTATGCTGATAGCAAAAGAAAGGGTGAGGGGTTGCTCTGTCTTTATGTTCTAAAAGGAACATGTAACATTTCTAGCAATTAGTACATTCAGAAAGGAATAAAACCTGATGTTTTACTGTATATATAAATGGCAGCCCTATTAGGTTTGAAGAAGGTCTGATGATATATTGTTAATTTTTAACCAATCACAGTCTGAATTTTTCCTGGGTTGTTGTTGTTAAATAATCTTGAGTAACTGATTCATTCTCCTAAAGCTTAAGAAATAGTACATCAAATAGTGACTCCTCACTCACTTTTGGTACGCAAAGCTCCCTCTATCTTCACAGCTATGCTGCCTTTTGAGAAGCTAACAATGGAGATTTTCAAACCCTTCACTAAAAGATAAATCAAACCCTGCATTGGGATCTACTCAAGTATATAGGGCTTGATAGGTCAGTCTGGATCATCGAGTTAATTTGCTATTTAAAAAAAAAAACAAAACAAAACAAACAAAACCAATAATGTATGCTTTTCATAAGCCAATGAAATATTACTTTAAAACTGGTATTAATTTTTTACCCTCAGAACTCCTGCTGGAAGCTTATTTCTTAACTTTAGTCTCATGGTTAAAAATTTTCCAATTTCAAACCTAAATATGTATAGTCAATATCTCCCTTTTTGATCTTTTGCCAACATTGAACTCTAGGTTAAGTAATCCTTCTCCCTCCCTGGGCTTGCCCCTCTAACACAATTTCAGAGGGCAATCACATATCCTTTCAAATTCTATTCTGCTAGGCTAGGGAAGCCAAGCCCTTTTGGTCTCCTCATTTATCTGAAATTAAAACTCTGATGCACACTCCACATCATCCAATTACGCTGCTCCAGGCAGACAGGAAATTTGAAAGGAGAACCTGCCAAAATCGACTCCACTGAGCCATTCTAAAATTTATAATAGTCCCTAATTTGGAAGTGAGTTTGACTGGGGGGGGGAAAAAAAAAAAATCAATAATTTAACAAAATCTTTACAATAGGTACCATCCAGACTTGTGTTAAAACCAGGAAGCTGAGATCAAGTAGCCTAAAAAACCTGAAGCTTGGCTATAAATTGCAAGCACAATCCAATTTACACTTACCTACAGCAAATCCTTCACATCATAAACTGCATGTCCTTTTTTATATGAAGTTCTTAAATTATATAGAAGACCCTCAGGTGTTGCAATTTTTTGGTACAGATGCTGCATGACTGTTCAGGTTCAAATATGATCCGTGATGTAAACATATTTCTATACGATATAACTTTGTATTTTGATATTTTTTTCAACATCATCTCATGTTTGCAATCTTGGCCATAAACCACAGTATCAAGCATATTTGCTAATTTGTTTAATTCTTACACCTAGAGCAGAACCATGCTTACAAAGCGCAAAGAGGTGGCTTTGATGTATCATAACGTACTTAAGCAGTAAAGAAATTCCAGAAAACACATTTAAAGACATCTAATTTTGTACTTACTAAGGCAAGTATTGTCCTGGAAGAAATTCAGAAATTTCAGGCATTCATCTATGTCGTTACCGCTGTTGCTGCAGTCACACCACGGGGCAACGCTGAGACTATTTGAGTCTATGTAGTTTGGTGTCATCACTGTGCCTATTAACAAAGAGTAAAGTACAATACCATGAGCATCCCGAAATATTCTTTCCAAACAGCACTTGGTAAGTTGTGTAATCAGAGCTAGATTCACAATTCAAACCCATGCATGTGGAGACCATGGAAGGTCTCCAAGTTCCAGACTTCACAGTTCCTGTCTCCCTTTGCCCTTTGCCACCCAGCCCTGCACTGTACTTCACACCCTAGGTTGTCGGAATGCAACCATTTCAGGGACTGTAAAATGACTCATGAAGTAAAGACCCATTCCCTTCCTCCACCAAGGTTTATATTGCATTCCCACAGAGAGCTGCATCAGCAGAAATGACAGGTGGAAATCTCTGGCAGAGGGGAGGGATGGTCTGGGAGACGGTGGGCAACTCTTAAAAGGGTTTTGCTGCCAAACCAAACATATGTGGAGCATGTCGCTAGAGTTGCAGTCTAAAAATTCAATTTTTCTTCCTTGCTTGTGTTTTTTCTCATTTTTGTTCTAACTGCAAATAAATGGCTGAAACTAGACATCCAGACCTAAGCTTGCTCCTTGAGTCAGCAGCCAGCCTGAAAAAAGTATTCCTGAAACACATGATCAAGGAGAATGCCAGTCATGTTGAGAGAAACCCAAACACATCTTGGAGGAGCATTAACCCCATGGTGCTCGTTAGGGACCTGCCAATGGAGTGGGCTATGGCATTGGAACGACGTGTCCAGGGAGGTGGTGGAGTCACCATCCCTGGAGGTATTTGAGAGATGTGTGGATGTGGCACTTAGGGACATGGTTTAGCGGTGGACTTGGCAGTGCTGGGTTAACGGTTAGACCTGATGATCTTAAAGGTCCTTCCCAACCTAAATGATCCTATGATTCTGTGACAAAACAGTACATTAGATTCTTTGCCGGTAATAAATTATTATAATTCTTGCTGTGTCACTACTTCTGTAAAGTGATTGTTTCCTTAACATTGTCAACAACTTACAACCACAGGTTCACTCTAACTCTATTACAAATTCTTGGGTAAAAATTCTCACATGTATATGTCAACTCAAGGCTACCAAGAATGAAATGAAGCCAAAGAATGCATTTTGTGTCCTAAAAGATATAGAGCAACTGTTCATCACTCATCTGTATCAGGCAACTCTGACGTGATCAGCACTTATTCAAACAAGTAGTCTCACTGAAGGCATCACCCCAGCAGGTCAGATATTTCAAACTTTCCTAAGGATGGAAAAGTTTGAACTTTTGTTTTATTTGCCTGGCCAAAGAGGAAAAATTAATTAAAAAGGGGCAGGTATTCCAGATTTGTACTGATGACAGCTGTTTCAGGAAACACATCCCTCACTTGGTAATCTACAGTTCTAGGACAAGTTGTATATCATGAGGAAATGTGATCACATCCCCTCAAAACTGACATTGAAGTAGCCATTAAGAAGATGGAATAGATGAAGGATTAATATTAGAGACCCAAGGTGTACACTAGCAGAGAAAATCTGGTCCATAGGTCCAGGGTCCAAGAGTCTGCAATAACATACAGGAAAGGACTATCAGACATCAAGCTAAAAAAAGGAACATTAGAAATAACACAAATCACAGAGTGATGTCAAATAGCCTTTCAGTCACCAGGCAGCACTGGGAACTGAACAAATCAACATGCAAACTGCTTCATACAGGACATGGGAGACAAAGGAGAAGAGACTGTAAGGCTGGCTTGAGAGGCAGTAACATACCTGAAAATTAATGCAGTCCCACTGCCAAACTCACAAAAAGCATCTTTTGTCTTGTTTTGGTATGTTCTTCAATTAGAATGCAATGCCATACCTTTATCTATTTCCACTTTTAACAGATAGTTGCAGTAATAATTGCTCAAGTTCTACATGAGATTAGCACATGAGTAAACAGCACAGTTCAAAATTTATTAAATAGAGGTACAGAATTTAGTAGAATAGGCAAATATCATTTGCACCATTAATGAAAATCTGACAGTAGAAAAATAAGAAGAGGAATGATGTTAAATTAAAATAAAACAAATGAAAATATCTGTCCATTATCCATTTGATGGTTCAGTACACTATTTCAAGTATGTGACATGATCTGAAAAGAAGTGAGCGAAAATGAAAACCAAGAGGATTTTGCAAATGGAATGAAAACAGTAGGCTTAAAAAAAACCCAAAGAAACAAACAAAAAAACACCACCACCAAACACCCTAAGTAACAAACACTTAGTGAAGGGTTAAAAAACCAGAACGGTATTGAGGAAATTAAAACGGTCACTGAGGTAAGACTTTCTTATCATAAAGGGGTGGTAAGGTAATTAAGTGGGTCAAGAAAGGAGCTAAAAGCGTAACAGATACCAAGCTACGATTAGGGTTGATGAATACAGAAAAGACAGGACAAGGAACGTGTACACACAGCACACAAACTGTGCATCCAGCAAAAACAGAGTGGCTGAAAGAGCAGCTAGTAGAAAATCAGTCTGTCATTTAAACCTGGGGGCAGATGTGAACCCAAGCGGATTATATGCTTGGTTTCCTGGGGTAGATTTTCTTTTTTCCCAGCAATGTGTGTGTGTCTTCCCCACCTCCCTCCTGCTAGCTGGCATCTTGGAAATTCTGCTGAAGGACACTAACGGATCACAGACACCATGGTGGTTGGCAGTAAAATAGGATATGTTTGGTTTTCTGCATTCTCCCCATCCAATAGGTCTGTGATGGTCTCAGTAGCAGGCAGTCAGGTCTCTGTATTTTAGACACACACAGAATTGAGCTGAACACAGCCAAGAGGCTGCTCAGATTAGGATCAGTTAAGAATGAGGAGATGGATGGTGAGCCCAGGAGAAGGGGCATGTGACTGAAGTTCCATTGCCCAATGCAACTCCAGTTTATTCAGATAAACTCTCATGGGATTCCTGGGAATCCCAGGGAAATTGGATGGATTTTAGGGCAAACAAGTGAAAACGTGTCAGAAAGCAAATGCTAAAGCAGATCTTAAAGTCAGTAGTTAGAGCAATATTTAACTGATTGGAGTGTAGACAGGTCCAGATAGCTTAACTAGGCTGTAACCAAAGCACTGAATTTCAAACAAAGCTATCTCCAATCTTCTTCCACACTAGATATTTTTAATAGATTTTCTTTAATTATTAAAAAAAATATCCTATTACTATGACAAGGAGCCTAAAGCAATGAGTTAAATTTTTCAAAATTCATGTAAAATATACATAACTGTATATTTTGTTATTCCTGTACAATATACATATACAAAATGTACATAACGCCCTGATGCAAACTTTAAGGAACCCTATATAGACTGTTATTCCATTTAACTGATAAAGCACTTAATATAAAAACTGACTGCATCTATTCCCACTTAAGGAATTTACTTCAGGTGGGATTCCACTAATTTCAGTGAACTCTGATTTACATCATTGTAAGCAGCATCAGAATCACACCCACTATGCCTTCCATAGGGAAGTCTCGATTCCCTGAACAAACCCTGTGGAGACATAATTTTTGCTACATTTAATGAAATGGCTAAATGAAATAATATTTTATCTTAATGAGCAATATTTTATCCTAATTAAAACACCTGAATATCCTGAAGCTTTGATGAATGAATGGATCTGTAACAGCTTCTTCCCTAAAGTCTACCTATCTCTTCTTCCTGAGTTTTATATATATTAAGCAGACATTTGAAAGATTGTACCTCTGATTCCTGTCTCAGCATCTTACAATTTGACGCATTACTCCACTTTAATGTCAGCTTGATATCAGAAGTAGAATTTCCTGCTTCAGCACATTAAACTTTTGTTTAGGTAATTTTCTTGGTTTATCAGAACTACTACGAAGAAATAAAAACTCTTGTAACACTAGTCAGTACCCATGGTTTTTGCACGTGTCCAGAGGCTAGCAGGAAGGAAGAAAAATGTTACTTTTTCCCTTTGAAACTTAGATCTCCTTTTGATTTCAACTCCTTAGGGATCCATTCCACATTTCTGATGTTACAGCATGGTCACCCACAGGACGACAAGAACATAGGAACTGGGTCATCCTTGAGGTTAAATTGAAAAATGGATCCAACAAAACTGCCAGCAAAATTCCCTAGGTCCAGCAAGAACTTCTTGGCAGCTCTTCCCAGAAGTATCTATTAGTAATAGTTACTCTTTGCCAGCAGCTAGATTTTTTAATCTCATTGACTAGATCACATTTCAAGCCTATTCAATTCTTGATTTTACAGTCAAATGACATTCTGTCATGACTACTCATATGTTACACTCCTTGCACACTGTCTTCATCTCGTAAGCCGTAGAAGCATATCCTTTGAAACCATCACATCTTATTTTACCAGTTGCCACATGAACTTACCTCACTTGTTAGCTGCTAGCGTAATAAGAATGGTAACAATAAGGCAGAGAATATCGTGCTCAGTCATTTTTCAGAAAAAACAACCTATTTTTTATAAATATTTTATTTTGGATATTATCTCCAGAGACATTTATTTAACAGCAGGATCCGCTTCAGGGCCTCAGCTGGGACCTTCACACCCAACAGAAGGGGATATTACTGCATCGCAGCAGGTGCAGGCTGCAAGCTTAGAATCATCTTATCCGGTGGCCTTTAAAATTTGTTGGTTTCAGAGTTTTGACATTCACTTGTTCTTTCTTGCCCAACCACGTTATTTCTACAACAAATTCACCTTCCTGAGATGATCTCTCTCTTTCAGGAATCAAACACTGCACATGGGATATGGAATCTGTCTTGCATAAAGGCATCCTTGTGCCTGTTGACAGTCAGCAAGGTGACATCAAACAAAATTAATTATGTTGGGGAGGAAGAGGATTTCATAAGATAAACTCGGTCTCAGTTCACCTCTACTGACAGGCATCTCAGAATACAGAGTGGACAGAAGACCCTCCTGGAAAGAATAGCAGCAGGAAGTGAAACAAGGCTGGGTTGGTCTATTGTCTCATTCCTCAAATGTCCTGCAAACTTTCTCCCAAGACCAAGAGGTGTTTTACCCAACCTGCTGATGTCAGCAGCATAAAAAACCAAGCTGCAGTTTCACTTGTTCTTTATAACTTCCTACTTCACGGTCCTGCCCAATTTCAACCAACTTAATAAGCTTTACTTTGTAAGCTTAATTTATATTAGTTAATTTTTAATGCAAGCACCTTTTTCTTCTTATCTTCTATCCTTAATTTCCTTTCAATGTATAAATTTACCCCAGGAACCTCTGTAAGGTAAAACAGGGTCAACACACGTAGGTAGAAAATTTTGCCTAGTACCATATTGTATGGTATTATATTCCACAGGTTTTATTTCATGTGGGCCTTCAAGACATAGTTTGGATGTTTTTCTTAGACTGAGCAAGCCCGCACCCTTCCCTGCCTTCTTACCAATGAGCCCCGAGTAAGCGAGGAGGCAGTCAGCATAGTTCTCCTTCAGACAGCTACTAACAGACCGTGACTCGGGCTGGCAGTTTGTGAAGAAATCTGCAAGGCGAGATCTGCAACAGGAAGAAAAATGCGTATCTTTAAAAATCAAGCCTGCAGGCACTCTTCCCTTTTATACTCTCTTTATTTTTGGACAAGGCTTAATATTCTTTAACTTAAATGTGTATTGGACACATTTCAGCTGACGAGAGTCACTTTCTTAAATGCATCTCTTTCCAGAATCAATTCTGGAAGTCAGAACAAAAAAGAAAACAGTGAGAAGGGACAGAACAACAGGGAAATGCCTGCCCTTTACTAAAAGAAATGTTCTGCATTTTCATGCCAAAAAAAAAAACCCAACCAAAAGACAAAGAGCGATTTTATCATAAGAGCAGTCATTTTGCCTGGATCTGAACTGGAATCTGTTATTCTACAGGAACAGAACACAGCTTCTGCTGTTTTACTGATTACACAAAACTCTATGTTTGTGCTCAGAGTCCTCTTACTACATGACTTGAGGCAGGACCTGCTTTGGTACTGAGTTTCCAGGGAATGGGCTTACCCCTGCTCTGGAGCAGCCTGCAGAACCAGCTGGCTGAGCTGGGGTAGCCGGCAGATCCAGATGGCACGGTCTCCGCAGCCGCCTCAAGCCATGGTACTGAGAACCTATTTGTTCTTGTAAAACGTGCATTTATCTGAAGTATACAGTAGTGAGCCCGGGGCTCAGAAGAAGGGACTGAGTGCTCTGCATCCCGTTCTGCTGCTGACTGGCCGTGTTATCTTCGCTTACCGCAGTTACTGCAATTCCAAGAGTGGGAGAGCACCACTTACTTAGAGTGCTTTAGGACTAGGACTGAAGGTGTTACACTTAACGGGTCGCTACTGCGTTGGAAAACCAGAAAAGGACCAGGAACTCTTCTGGTTATTTACGTTTTAAAGGCCAGATAAAGCTCCCATTCAGGTCTGTAAAATTTGAGAGGCTCACTGAGGTGGGTCAAGGTCCCACATCGCACAACCACTCTCCAGACCATCCTGGCCTGCACTCCTCAGCTCTGCTCATGCTTTCTCTTAGACCTGTAAACCTGGAGCAGGGACTTCTGTTTATTTATGAAGTGCCATTCAGACCTTTGTCTCCAAGCTCAAAATTATTTAACCTCCCTACTTCAATCTCCTCCTCTGTGAAAAAGAGATGAAAATGTTCTCTTGCATGTAACAACTCACAATGCTGTTAACCTTTGCAAAGCCCTCTCAAAATCAGAATAGTATCATCTATGCATTTTCAGCACTGCTCTAGCATTATGTAGATGTGCAATATAAATGCTTTTTTTAGCTTTGCAACAAAAACACTGAAGTTAGCAGAAACAAGTGATTTGCAAGTGATTTACTTTATTTGTTTACATGCTCTAGAGACTAATTATCTTTGTTCGCTTTATTGTTTTACCTATCTCAGAATGGAATTGGATCTACATCATTAATTGGCCTGAAAGCAGCAATGGGCAAACTTCAAAAGGTTCACAGGCTTAGTGTGAGAAAGTATCCTATAAATAGATTGTATGCAAACTGTATCTGAATTTATCTGAGCTCTTCTCATGACCTCTTTTCGGTTCCATCCCTGGCTAACTGCACTGACACCTGCAAATCCATGGTTGCCTTCAAACAGTCAGCTGTAAGCTTTTCACTCTTATTTAACCATTTAATCTTGAGATGGACATCTGTAACCAGCTGCCCGTAACAGCTTTAAAAAGTCAAGATCTCTACCAGTCCTTCAAAATGCCCTATACATATACATAAATTTCTAGATTTCCATAAAATCTGTACTTTGCTGGTTAATATTTACAGTACCTACCACAGGACACGCTGAGAAAATATAGGAAGAGATAAACAGCAGCTTCACAGAGACAAGGAAACCCTATGTCACTGCAGTGATTCCTCTCTCAAGTCAGTAATTAAGATAGTGGCTCTGATGCAGCCTTCTGAGCAATTGGGAACAAAGATAGTTGACAGTTCGTAAGGTTTTCACAAATTCTACTAATATGTAGATGAAATCTGTTTTAGGACAGAAGAAAGTTCATTATATCTATCTAGTATGAACAATTTTTACCACAGTAGAAAGTGCAAGCCTGCTGTAGGTACAGTATTTTTGCATTTCTAAAACAAAGTAGCTCCTCAGATTTAAATTTCATTATTTATGTGACCACAAACAAATCTTTTTGCAGCTGCAATTATGATCAGCATCTTCCCGAACTCATTTCATCTTCTGAAATGTCCATTTCTCCTTTAGATTATTAGGTGCATTGGTCCAGAGATCATTTAATACACTCCTCTTCTCTAAATGTTTTTAAGGACTGGTAACTGTGGAATAACTCCAGTCATTTACTGACCAGTGTGCTTATGAAATTTATTTGTTGTGAACTCTAAAGGAGGCTAAAAATTGCTCTGCTGATCCCTTTTGCATACAGCCTGATTTCTATGTTAATTTCTAATGATTTTTTGTGGTCATAAAAGGTAATGATCTGACAATGTGGCACATTTAAGTTTTCATAAGACAAATATAGTACAGATAGCTCCGGTCCAAGCATTACTGGACATCATTATACACCTCCTCGTGAGTCATCCAAACTTTGTATTATCAAAGTTCTTACTCTCTCCTGAGCTGTTAACTGCACCTGATATTTATGTGGATTCACTTCCACTGGAGTTAAAGTTAAGGCTGACAAATTAGAACAGAGACAGACTCCATCTGCCATAAAATAACTCCATCATTTTCAGTGAAGATCTGATCAATGCTCACTGAAATGTTTGGAACTAGATCTTCCAGTAGACAGGCACTGAGGAAAGTGTGCTCGTCACCAATACCAAACCAGTGGTACTGCTATTTATCTAGAGAAACAAATTCGCCTAATTAGCAATCACAGAATCATTTATGATAAAGTATTGCTCATGATATTAAGAACTGTTTGGTTAAAAGAGGCAATCCTTTCAGGGATGCTGAAGAAGGGCAATCAGATTATGGCGATCCTATAAAAAACATGCATACTGTGTTAACAGCGTTCATTCAGCAGAACAACTTGTGGGTAGTAACTTGTAGGTGTCTAACTCATGACCAAGCAGTTTTATATTGTACATAACATGTAGCAGGACAAAATTTAAAAGGAACTATTAATTTTTTTCTGTTGAAGAATCACAAATCGTCTTTGTTCATAGCAGCATTAATGATTTTTCCCTTCTTTTTGCATAAAAAAAAGGAACTGAAGAAAACTACACACAAATCATCTTCCTTGAAAGAAAAAAGAAATCCTCTCTTTGTAGGGCAAAAAAATCCACAAATTAGATGAGTCCTATTTTACCCTGGGAAATCTCCTCAAAGTAAACCGCAGATCTTCTGGAAAGCTTAGTTTAAATACCTTGTATACCACTAACTGGGAAAAAAAAAAAAAAAGGAAAGAATAATCCTATTGGCAAATTCAAATAAATTCTGTTCAAACAACAGTCTTTCTGAGAAAAAGAGGAAAAAATCCCAAACCTGCTATTCTCTAATGCTTTCTATTAGCACGAGAAAAATCATTTGTAACAGTTAAAAATACAAAGAAAACAAAGTTAATTTGTTTTCCTTATGATAGTGGTTCTTCAAATAGTCAGCAAGATAAATCAAAACTTCCAAATTTTGCTTACAAATAAGCTTTGTTAATAGCAGTATTCTGTTTAATCTGCATATAATTTTTGAGGCAATTTAATTTTATATTAGCACAGCCTGTGGCATAGGCAACGTTGATTAGGTTTTCACTATTTTTTATTCTCAAGGTTTTGTAAAAGTGCTTTGATCTTCTGAAATTATCTTTGATATTTATCAGTTCTCCCTCTTTAAAGTTGGTCAACTCAGCTTCAGAACTGGTGCAATATTTAAAAGCACGATATAAATGATGAAGTTGCAGAAAATTTCTAAAACTGCATTTTTAGTTGGGATCTGGTGCACGTCATGGCCAACAGGAAAGCAGCTCTATGAACCAGGCACATGAGTCCTCCCCACGAAGCACCTCTCCTGCTGGGCGGGTAGTTATTGTCTTACTTCTTTTGTTTCTCTCTGGCTGCATCTTCAATTGCTGGCACACAGGGGCTGAGCCAAGAAATCTTCTCTCTTAGCCCTGCCTTTGCATTGTTGATCTTCAGACCAAGACAGACACCGAATCTCCACTGACTGTACATTGTGATGTCCAAGTGAGTGACCACCAACTACTTGCCCTGTTAGTGAATGGCTGCTGCCCTCTGCAATGTTAGCTGAGGTCTAGACACGCTCACTACCACCTCTCTTTACATCGCTGCTTGTGTTTAGGTACCTATTTATGGCTCGACAGCAGTAATATAAAGAGTACGTAAATGCCAAAGCTGAGTGACTGGGGTGACTACACTAATTAGTCAAAGCTGCTCTAGTGTCTAGACACCATTTGGCAGACGTAGTATAGTCACGTAAGGCGAGTGCTGCATCAATATTCAAAACAGCAAAGGAGTATAAATCTGACACTGAGAAAAATCAGACTAAGTCAATGAATATGTGTCATAGTGATAAATAACACCATTATAGAAAAAAACCAAGCCAAAATACTTGTTCTTTTGTGGGGTCAAATGCAGTATCCTCCTCTGTTGCTACAGATAGCTCCCGTGTGGCTTGGGTGGTGCTGATTCTGCTGGGATGCTATAGTGGCAGGAGAGGTTGTTACATGGCCAAAGTAATGGCTTCATTGTTGGAGGAGCTTTTCATTTTCTTTTTGTTTCACGAAAACACAGTGAGTGGGCAGCGAGAAAATGAAGCAAAAGCTACATAAGAAACTCTATCAACCAGTGAGCCGAAAAAAGCCTCAGAGCAACTCCATCACAAGAGGGAGAACCCTCCCAGCACCTAGTAATATAGCTTTGACCCATTTTCTTTTTCATTAAAAGACACTAGAGCTGTGTACTGCTAACACATCACATACCTCTTAAGTTACAGACGTGCACTACTGAGCACCTGTGAGCAACTCTATATTTTGACAATTGCTTTTTAAATGATCATTTTAACGTATATTTATGAATTAGCACT